AATTGATTAAAAAGTACTAATACAAATGGTTTATATTTTTCTTAGGACTAAAGAGACTCTTGAATCTGGACATTTTCTCAGTGTCATCAACATTCTCATGCAGTTGAGGAAGGTTGGTCTTGGTCTTAGTAAACTTTCCTTAGATGACAGCTTGTATGTAATAATCAGCACATGATGAATTCCAACTTCTGGTCCGTGTTTTTGAGACACATGATAACCTTTGAAGTTCTGAGCTGATTACAGTGTGTAGTTGAATCAAATTCTTTAGGTTTTCTAGATGATATCATTTTGAATTGTCCATGGGGCATTATGCGGAAGCTTTGTATTTACTGCTAATACCAGCACACTTACTACATATGTTTGTAACTAGAAGTGAGCAAGTTGTGATCATGTTACAGTTGCAGCYTTGCTTTAAAGTTGGCATGTATAAGTACTTTTACGAACAAGAGTATAATATCTTGGTGCAATAGTCTGTCAATCTTTAGTTTTCTGTTGATCCAAGCATGAAATGTTGTCTTGTTTTAGGTGTGCAATCATCCTGACCTGTTTGAACCACGCCCTACTGTTTCATCACTTAAGCTACCAGAAATAGTCTATTATACTTCATCACTGATCTTAARGGCTCTTGACAAAGACCCTTTCAAAGAAGCCAATTTTGGTTATCTAAACCTTTGTCTTGCTGATATTGAACTGACTGTGACTAGTTATGCTGCTTATAGAACTCACTCTCTACAAACACCAAAGCAGTTGATAACAGAAATTGATAGTTTACCAGACAAAGYACCTTTACTTGTACCAGCAGCAAAGTCCAGGAAGACGCCAGGAATTGTAACACCCCCAGGAGTTGCTTGTGACACCAACAATGTGCATCCCACTACAATGCCCACATATCCATCAAATCAACATCAGGATCACCGTGCTTTTCCTGCCGTTGGTTCTCCTTATGGTACTATGATGTGGTACCAGGATGGTATACCATATGGTCCTAGACCAGGCAGTATACCACCAATACCTGGCTTACAGCAGCCTAGGATGGTAGCACCTGTTAGTACATCAACTTCTCATACCTACCAAACAAGACAAAGTGCAACCCATTTTCCTTATGGTCTACCATCTAAAATGATGGCTCCACCACCACCCTACCCAGGACATTCTGTGGCAGTAGCATCRAACCAGTCATTTGATTCAACCATTGGGTATTTAGAACAAAGACCTCCTATCCCTTCGCCTAGTATTCAGAAGAGCTTAGGTGTTCCTCACTCGAGGGGTCTGGATGCCGGCCATCCAGAACCCAAACCTGTGCAGGTTTCACCTTCTAAGAAACTTGCTGTTGAAAAGAAACCAGTTCCACAAGCCACTTTGCCWCCCCAAGAGAATAGAAATTCACCTTTTTTCTTGGTAAGATTATTTCTTACATCAGAACGTTTTTATTGAGTACAGTGAAGTTTGTACAGGTACAATAGTTGACTGTTGACAATGGTGAATTATCATCAGCCTATGATGAGTTCTTACTTCTGGTCCGTGTTGTTGATAACATATGATAACAATTGAAGTTCTGAGCTGATAATTCTCCTATTCACCAATACAACATACCATAACAAGCTGTTTGTAATCTTTAAATTCCATTTGATCATCCTAGCCTAAATTATCTGCAAAGCAAGCCCAGCAAAGAAAAGAAAAGTTGGCTTCTTTGGCTTTAGTGAATAACCAGCATTGTCGACGACAGCCTTTATATGGCATGGATTTGGTCCAGGCTGTAACATTTGTCAAAGGACTCGGCAAGAGTACAGTTAACTGYCAAAGTATTCAAGATATGATAAGGAGTCATGAACAAAGGATAACAGARATGAATGCAGTTATAAATAGGTAGGAAGAAAGGCTTCAAACATGTGTTTGTCTTGCAACTTGTCTTATTCTTATTTGGGTAGAATGAGTATGCAATGCATTGAGAGATATGATCAGTAATGTGCATGAAGATGCATATGCAAATATTATAGATTTTCTATGAAGTTCATAATTTAAATGCTGTAATAAATAGACAGACTTGAGTAATGTAATAAAGATGCCAAAACCTCTTTTTTGTCTACCGCTGGTTTGTTATTTTAATAATATTCAAACAAAAGTTCAACCAAATGTTTTTGCTAACAATTGACAAAAATTAAAGCCTTCATTTACATTCTACAGATATCCATGGACATTGTATTTGCAGTAAAGATTATTGGATGCTTTTATAAATATACAATTTATCATATTCTATTGTTGACAGGTTTGTGTTCCATATACCACGAGCTACATCACCTGGTGTCAAAATGCACTGTTCTCATCCACCTCCCCATTGGACTAACAGACATGAATACCTAGAAAACAACTTGGCTAGGTCTTTATTACCAAAGTTTGATGTACTGCATCCAATCACTAGAGGAATGAGTATCCAGTTTCCAGAAGCAAGGCTCATACAGTATGACTGTGGTGAGTGAATCACAAAGCTAATGTAAAGCAGTAATCACAATAAGAGTGTTAAACTGTGGCTACACGAAAATCAACAGCTCACAATGTGGCTACATGAGCGACAATGCTGTATCAATGCAGATCTAAACAAAATGACAACAGTTTTTAAAAGGATGGACATATCATGGGCCTTTTCTGAAATAACATTCGCTTTGCATTGTGGTCTAGATTTGGTACAAATGTCTTTTGCTTTATATGCAGCCAAATATGCCTTTTTTTGTACTGAAGCTAGACCACAATGCACCATGATTTTGTATTGCAGAAATTAAAAAGGTCTATTTGAGAGCTGTTTATATTGTGTTTATCTAAGTTTGAAGGTAGTCTAATCCATTTGTTGATAGAACTACAGCTAAGCAATGCTGCATGCAAGCATATAATCACCTAGATACATAAGTTTTGGTTTTAATATTAAGTTGAGTAGGTTATGGTAATATTCCTGCCAATATGTACAAAATCTATTGAGTGAATATATCACTCTTTAGTGTCAATTTATTGGCTGAGATTAGTTTTGTTGGCTCTTTTAAAACCCATGTGTGGGATCTTTATTCCTTGCATATGGATCCTGTCGAGAGCTACAATAGCATTAAGGTACTGTTCTCATTTCGAGATCTTATTTATGCAACCTATTGTAATTATCATTTCAAAATTTTGTAATAATTCATTTTTTGTTTCGAATAGGAAAGCTACAAACTCTTGATGTTCTTCTAAGACAGCTGAAAGTCGGGAAACATCGGTAAGCAGCATTTCATAGTTATTATTATAAAATTTGTGATAAATAACGCGCGCTCTGATTGGCTGACGATCGTGTTTATATAAGAGGACAGAGACACTGCTTACCGGCAAAATTTTCTTTTCGCTCGAAAAATTTTATAAAAGAAATATAAAACGGCCGCTTGTGTCTCTGTCCTCTGATATAAACACGGTGGGAGTTGAAAAACACTCGAGAAGCAAGAGAAACAATCGCTACGCTCGTGTT